CCCCGGCCGGGCGCCGGCATCGGGGACAGGGGGGCGGCGCGGGGGCGCGGAGGCGGGCGGGGACGGGAGGAGCGCGGAGGGGCGCAAGGAAACGCGCGGGACCCGGAGCAGCCTCCTCCGGCCTGGGTCCCCTGCTCTGATGGTCAAGGCCAGGGTCGTTCTCAGAAGAAAGGCGCCAGCGGACCTGTCAGGGCAAAGAACCCAAACCCTGAGACAGTGAAGCGAAGCTGTAGGAGGGACGCGGAGAGGGGTCCAGGTGCCTGTGGCTCTCGGGCCCCGTCTCTAAAGGCCACCCCCTCGGTCCCGCCCGCAAGCACCCCTCTCCCCGATTTGGCACAACAGGTCCAGAGAAACGCCCCCGGCGCACTGGGCAGCGCGTCCCTGAAAGCTCCTGAGCGGCGCGCGGGGGTGCGGGGAGGAAAGGGGTCCGCGATGCTGCAGGTCCTCATCACTAAGACAGGTGTGATCCTGGGGAGGGCGCCACAGCCACCCCGCCCATGCAGCCAAGGCCGGAAGGGGCTGAAGACGCGGGCAAATAAAAAACCAGCTAATGCTTTATCGAGTATTTTTGAAAACCACCCCAAGAAACCTTTTTGCTTTCCCTGCTTTCCCTTTCGTCCTCTATTTTTCCAACCCTGGGATTTTTTTTTTTTTTTTTTTTTTTTTTTTTTTTTTTTTTTTTTTTTTTTAGTTCTTACGGTAAAGATTTTATCCATTTTCCTCCCAAAGAACAAACCCCAGGTAGCTCCTTAGGGTGAACAAGGAAGGTTAGGAGGGAAATAAAGGGAAGAGACAGAGCGGGAGAGAGGGGACACTAAAACCAGACACCCACTTCCAATGTCCCCGCAGCCACTAGCAAGCCCCCTTGGAGACACCCCTCGGATTCCTCTCTCTGGAGGAGGACAGAAGATTCCACCGATGGGAATCCCAAGCGGTGCTTATTTTCCAGCTCTTGTTTCTTCTGGTCTCTGGCCTGGAGTCTGTAGGTTTCTGGTAACTTACGCGCCCCTTTGCACTTTCACCCTGTCCCCTCTTCGCCCACCAAACCAGACGGGTCATTGCGATACCCAGTCGAGAAACAAAAAGCACAGAAGCCTCCCCCGTCACCGTCCACAGCCTCCGAACAACTCTTCCAATAGTGTTTCTAAGAAGAGAGAAGTTGTTTCTGGATAAATATCCTCCGTCCTCAGCAGCCCCGGTACAAAACGATTTTAAGATCTAATGTCTTCTTGACATCTTTCTCTCCCTCTCTCTCTCTCGGCCCCCACGCCACAGACTCCAGATGGTCCTCATTAAAATATACGCGAGAAGGCAATTAACACGCGGATCCTGGGGGCAGGGTCGGGGGGTGGTTACCTGGCACGTCCATGGTGGGCGAGCCCCGCTGTCCGCGAAGTTGTTCTGCTTAGACAGAATGAGGCGAGCGGGAGCTGGCGGGAGGAGGACACGGAGCGCGACCCTTCTCCCCGCGCGTGGCCAATAACCGCGCCGCCCCGCCCTGCAGCCTTCCCGCGCCGGCCCGCGCCCGCTCCGGGCATGCACCACGCCCCGCGCCCTGCACTGCTCCGCGCCCCGCACCGCCTACGCCCCGCGCCCTTAACCCGTATGTCCCGTGCCCTGTGCGCGGCAGCCGGGTCCCCTCGAGCCCCTGCGCCCAGTGTTCCAGCAGCGCGGCTTTCTGGAGGGCCCCTCCTCCCCGGTCCCGGCCTCTCCACGTCTCCAGAGGGCACAGTCCAGCGCTGCCAACGCCCTAAGGACTCTGTGCCTGGCCGTCCTCCCGGGCTCGGTTCCACCTCCCCTCACCCTGCAACGCCCAGGTCCGGCTCTCACCCAAACACCCAGAGCGAAATCCTTCCAGACGCCTCTTGGTACAATTAGACGCCCTCAAAGGCACCGGTCGCGACTCTTCTTTTAGATTCTTTCTTTTCTTTTCCAAATTCCCTCCACGTCTTAATCTTGAATTGCGTGACTACTTTCATAATTAAGAAGAAAAACACAGTTTTCTTTTAAAAAAGAAGAAGAAAAAGACTGGGATGGAGAGAAAAAGCTTGGGAATTTAATGGCTTCAGGGCTTTGGTTCCGGAGTCTCCAGTTTGGGAATGTCAGGTTTTGGCAGGGATTGAAGAGGTGTCTCCCGCCTGGGTTTATGTGTCTGCTCCTCTAAATCTCGGGGCTCCTGGAGCGCGTTGGCACCCGAGCTTATTTATTAAAATGCCTGCTCTGAGCTCGAAGTCCTGGGGAGACGCGCCGGGTTTCCGAGCTGCGCCTGGAGCGCAGGCGAGACGCGCAGGCACGGACTTGGAGCGCCACCTAGGGGCTCTGGTACCTCCCTGCCCCAGGCTGTGGACAAGCGGACTCCGGCGGACGACTGGGGGAGTCCGAGACACAAGGCTGAGCTTTGCCTATGGTCTTCTTCACCCCCCAAAACTGCTCTGGCCTCTGCAAAAATCCAACCACAAGAACGATAATAACCGATCTTTCCGGTATCCTTCAAGACCCTTGCCCGTGACAAAATGAAGCTGCACTCGATTTTTACAGCTCTAACCACTCCGTCAGCCAAGATTATATATGCTGCAGTAAGGTTATCATCGGTTATTATTGTCTAAACAACGTTTGCACAGACCTACCACTGGGCCGTATGGTCCAGGCTGTCCTTAAACAAAGACAGTCTTTAAATGAGCACTCTCTTTATAACTTGAGTTTTAAAAACATCATTTAAAAAGTATTTCTTTGACTTTCATAGTATGCCTTTTCTGATAGGCTCATCAAAAATAAACCCCAACTCGGCCAATGCTGTTCATTAGAACAGAGCACAGGAATTTCTCGCTCCTCTAGACTTCACGCTAAACCTCTTTCCTCCGAAGACTTCAGCAGTGTTGTGACTCCACCCTAAGAAACGTGGGCTTTATCGGGTAGGGGGGTTTGAAGGCCTTATTTCCTTTAGGCTTTCTCACGGCTAATCCCCCCATTTAAAATAGAATGGCAAGGCCTCATCCCTACGCACCGAAGGTGAAATTCACGTCAAATCAGTTCAGCTGGAATGGATATGTAGGAAGGCTGGGGCAGAGTGAAAAGAGCCTTGCATACTGTTAACTGAGACAAAATATTTACTATGGGTGCGAGGTTGTGATTGAGCCAATTGCTTTCTACTTAACATGCAAAATAGTACCGAATATAAAATAGCTCCAGAATCTATCATACCCCCAAACCATATTTGTGTGACTTTAACGCAATGGAAATCGTTCACTCTTTCAGATAGTTACTTTATTCCACTGTTGCATCAATTTGATAGTCTTATTGTCAAAACAAGCACGACTCTGTCATTCCATCATAGCGAGTACTGATTTGGCTTCGAGAATAAATACCAAAGGACACTAGCTCTATGAAAGAAGTGTGAGGCACAGACTGATAATCAGACCAATATGGAGATGCTAATTAAATGGCAATACCTCTCAGTCATCTAAAAATCTTTAAATAAAAGCTCTGTTAAGCAACCTTCTTAAATACTGTGCTATAAGCTTTCTTTTGACTAATATAAACACAAACACACATGAACCAAATTATTATCATTATCTTTGGGGGAAAAAAACAAAGCTCTTTTCTAAGTGTCAATGAAAATGTTTAAATTATATATATATATATATATATATATA